CCCAGCGCCCTCCGCCTCCGCTTTTATCTGTCTGTGTGTTAGAGCTTTCCAAAAGCCTCAGGCATTCCCCCTATCAGTTAGTCGTTGCGGGCCTGGAGCCTGGATAGAATCGTATAATGGAATTACAGGATGGTCTGGGTTGGAAGCGACCTTAAAGATCATCCCGTTCCAACCCCCTTGCCACGGTAAGGGTCACATTCCACTAGACCAGGTTGGTCAAAGCCCCCTCCAACCTGGCCTCGAACGCTTCCAGGGATGGAGGCATCCACAGCGTCTCTGGGCAACCTATTCCAGTGCCTCACCACCCTCGCAGTTAAGAACCTCTTCTTAAATATCTAAACATATTTTCAGTTTAAAACCATTCCCCCTTGTCCTGTCACTGCATGCCCTTGCAAAATGTCCCTCTCCAAAAGTCAACTAGAAAGAGAACAGTAAGAATATCTATTTATTCTTTCTCTATTTTTATTTAGAGCAGTCTAACTTTAAATGGTAAAATGCTAGAGAGGTTCTAGAGGCCTACTTTAGCCAGGAGTGCCTAAAGCAGTTCATTTTTATTTAGAGCAGTCTAAACCACTGGTTTGCAGACAGTATCTTCTGCTGTGTGCTCATTAAAACAAAGCATAAGGGAAATGGGCACCAGCTGCACAGAACAGGGTAGGGGCAAAGGGGACACTGGTGTCGGGCAGGGGGATGGTGGATGAACTGTGTCTTGCTTTCCCTGCAGAGTGAAGGTACGAGGGGCGACATGAGCGGGAGGAATGTGCCTCAGGGGTAAAGTTGAGGAATATGGTCTGGAAAAGAGGGTGACTGCACCTGAAGGCATTGCTCAGAACAGGAAGGTGTATGCTAATGAGTAAGTAAGCCTTTTGAAGATTCAGTTTGTAGCACTCCAGGCAACGCTGAACCACAGAGTGAAATGAATTCTGTAGTGAAATGCATTTAGAAACTTGGCTACAGTCAATCAGATTAGATGCTAAAAAAAAAAAAAAAGAGTTACAAAAATATCAACACTGGAATGAAAAGGTGGAGTGATCAACGTTAAATGAGAAAGCAGAAAGGTAAGAGATGTCTGGAGGAAAAGCTGAGATTCTGCTTTTCTCATGCTTGGTTTCAAGAAGCAGCAAAGAAAACTACAGGAAGAAGCGCAGGCTCGGATGAGAAGGGAAGGGTAAGTGCGAAAGTCATCAGCGCTGAGGAGACCAGAGAAGTCACCCAGAGGCCAGGGCAGAGGGTGGAGGGAGAAGCAGCAGCGCACCAAAGCCAGAAACCAGCAGAGTGAGTTTTCCTCGTGTTTGCATAAGTTAGCACCTGTATTGCTTGCAGCTGGAGCAGCGCTTGTGGGGGGTGGGAGACCTCCTTTCCCTGGGAAACAGAAGGATGGCTGTTTTACATATGAACGAGGCCTGATGACAGAAAATTACTCCAGTTGTTTGCTAATGGTGAAGCGTTTACGCTGCCGATACTATTGGAAGTGCCATTTCCAGCGGGGAAGGACCCACGGTTTTTTCTTTCCCTGCAGGATCTCTACTAATCTCCATTATATTATTATACTTAGAGTGCATTGTTTTCCTCAAATAGGCCTGAGAGGAGGGCGATACATGGACCTAAGTGATACAAAATGCTGCAGTGCTTGGTTATTCTGGAGTGAGCGTGTTGCTGTGGAGTTTCTTGCCCCAAATTTTGAACGATGTATTAATAAATTTTAAAACTGCTAGTGTCTTCTTTGATTTTTTTTTCTCTCAAGTAATGGCAAGATGAACTTTAAAGAGCACCCTAATGTTGTGTATTTTCATTACGGGATCTCTCTAAAGGGGAGGCAGGGGTGTGTATGTGGCTGTAAAATCATGTTTCGTGAGAAATCACAACAAGCAGGGAAACACAGACAATTCGTTTAGGTCACTAGATGAACTCATTGTCAGTATGCCACAGACACAATGTTTCCCTGAACATTGCTGGAGTAGATCCTTTTTCTGGTAATCAAATAGTGAAGTTGAGCGAAATAGAAATTGTGACAGCTGTTGTTAAGTTTAATTTCTTTTACATGGTTTTAATAGAAGTGGAGTAGACTGAAAACTTAATTGGTAATGTCCATGACCATCAGATAAAGTCTGTTTATCCAGTGGTTTGTTTTTCCTGTGTATGAGATAAATCTACTTGTCCTGAGACCAGCCAGTTTTCTCATTAAATGGATCTCTGCTGTTTGTTGCCACCCACTGTCTAGGAAATCTTCCTGGAAGTTTGTGCATTTTATCTTTTTGTAACCTAGTGATATTTTGTAACACTGTTCTCTAAGACCACGAAAAAGTCTGCTTAGAGTAAGTGCTTTTGCAGAATCCTGGTATCCAGAATACTTATAAACAGCTTTTCTGAAAGATCTGTTCAGTGATAAAAAAATTCCTTTGGTAGATCCTGTTTATTATGTATGTTACTTTAATGTGTAGATTAAAGTGTACGTATTAAAATGTAATTAGAAGTTGTATTAGACATATTAATAATTCTGAATATTGAAAATACTTTGATGCTTGTCTTAATAAGGAATGCTTTTATTTCAAATGCAGCTGTTACTTGCTGTTTAGGAACTGAGCTTTGGTGGGCTTAAATGCCTTCTGAACTGTAATTCATAACTGAGTGCCTAGAGCCAGTAATGATATTGTATGTGCTTCTCTCTCAAGTCAGGAATTTAATATAATACATATATTTTGCTGAAACATAAGCTAATACAATTTTTCACTCCATTTAAGACCAAAATCTTAAATTGAAGCACTGTAACACAGTGTGTGCAGCACACCAGCCTGGAGCTGTGCTGAATTTTGTGTCACTCATTTCCTTCTCTGAATGAACAGTCTCCACTTGGAAAAAATAAATCCTTTGTAGAGTAAAAAATATCATGTGATGGTTAGGAGACAGATTTGAGTACTTAAGGTAACAGTTTAATGGGAAGGTCCAAGGAATTGTCTCTCCAATTGTCTCATCTGCCTAAGGTCCAAGGAATTGTCTCTCCAGGTATGGTGTGGCAGCAGGGCTGGGCTGCCTCAGCTGCTTGCTGACACCCAAAGGAGAAGGCTTTACTCTCCCTCCTTCCCTCCTCTCACTCCTGGTGATGAGGTCTGGCCACAAGGTGAGCAATGAATTCACCCCACCGGCAAAAGCACATTTACTGCTTTTTTTGCCGGCGGTCATTTTTCTGTAATTGTGCTGAGCTGAGTCAGCTTGCCTTTGCATGAAATGAGAACTGGCTCAGGGCAAGCAGTCGTGGTGTGCAGCTGGAAGGAGATGTCAGGGATGAGCAGGGAACTTTTACTTTTGATGATGAGATGTTGTCTATGCTAATGGTATATTCAATATAGAAATCTCTAGGGTCTGGGAGTGCTGGAGGATATATCTCTGTAGACAGTGACTGGCTCCTCTGCCTGTGTGCCACTTCAGCCAGAATCAAGCCAGCTCTGTTGTGGAACTGTGTTAGCTAATATACATTGCTCCCTTAGGGAAACCTTCCTATTTTCCTCTTTCAGTTTAAATTATTTAATGCTACACAATGCAGAATGGCAATATTGCTTTCTGAGGTCTGGTTTTATGTTTAAAGTGACCGTATGCCAAATGAAATGCAGGATCAAATTAATGGGGAGTTGGCAGTTTTCTGTGGTTTGATCATAATTAAAGCACTATATCAATCACAAATCCAGGCCCGGAATAATGCTCCAGTTAATGATTGACATGGATTTATTTATCTGTATCTGGTTAATTAATTAATTATTTGGTTCATAATGTGCTATAGTTATTACTCATGTTAACAGAAAAATTTCAGCCAGTGTTTGAGTGTGATTGAATGTTTTGTATGTTGTGTATCATAGAATCATAGGATGGTTTGAGTTGGAAGGGACCTTAAAGATCATCCAGTTCCAATCCCTCTGCCACGGGAAGGGATACCTTCCATTAGACCACATTGCTCAAAGCCCCATCCAGCCTGTCCATGAACACTTCCAGGAATGGGGCATCCACATCTTCTCTGGGCAACCTGTTCCAGTGCCTCACCACTGTCACTGCAAAGAATTTCCTCCTAATATCTAATATAAACCTATTTTCTTTCAGTTTGAATCCATTCCCCCTTATCCTGTTACTCCAGGCCCTTATAAAAATTCCTTCTCCATCTTTCCTGTAGCGTTCCTTCAGGCTGCAATTAGGTCACCCTAGAACCTTCTCCAGGCTGAACAATCCTAATTCTCTCAGTCTTTCCTCATAGGAGAAGTGCTCCATCCCTCTGACTACCTTGGTGGCCTCCTCTGGACTTGCTCCAACAGGTCCATGTCCTTCTTGTGCTGTGGACCCCAGAGCTGGATGCAGCACTACAGGTGGGGTCTCATCAGAGCAGAGGGGCAGAATCCCCTCCTTCAACCTGCTGCCTACCCTGCTTTGGATGCAGCTCAGGATACATTTGGCTTTCTGGGCCCATGGCCAGCTCACATCCAGCCTCTCATCCACCAGCACCAGCAGGGCTGCTCCCCATCTTCATCCCCCAGCCTGGATCGATGCTGGGGTTTGCCCTGACCCAGGTGCAGCACCTTGGAGCACCTTGGTCTTATTAAACCTCATGAGGTTCTCAGGGGCCACTTCTCAAGCTTGTCCAGGTCCCTCTGGATGGCATCCTGTCCTTCAGGAGTGCCAACAGCACCACTGAAAGACAGGAGGTACAAGACTGGCCAGGCAGGAAGCCACATGGTGTGTTACAGCTTTATTGGTACTGTGGGTTTTCCCAATGTCACTCATATACCCATATGCCCTCTTCTTTCATGAAGAGCATTGCTCCTGTCCTTTGCCTTTCCATAACGGCTGATGCCTGGTTTTGGTCTTGTTCTGGCTCTTTCTTTGTGTTTAAGTGCTAAATGTATTTTTATTTTCTTGCTTTAAGAGGCTTTTGGCTAAATCAGCAAACTGGGCTTTGCAGCAAAATTCTTAGCAAAATACTTCAGGGAAAATTTCGATGGGCTGAAAAGAATCATGGAGAATAGTCTGAGGCACATGCTGGCTCAGCAGCTTCAGCTGCTGTTGATGGAAGAGGGTGGTTAAAGGCAGAGCATGCAGTTAATGGTGCAAGTCTGAGATTACAGCTTGGTTGTTGAAAGTGGGCAAAAAGGATTGTATTTCAGTTCATGATAGTACTCTGTTTTGGAACTATCACAGTATCATAAATAGTTTGCTAACATACTCAAACATCTTGGTGGTTAGTTTTCAGTGGCTAACCATTTGTCAACGAAAGCTCTAGAAATAAGCTTAGCAAATAGCCATGTGCTGAGAGAATGAATCTTCACAATTGTTTGGAAATAGTGTTTTGGAGACCTGAGGACATTCTTTTTTGAAAACTAGTGTTTCCAAGATAAAACACCCAAATAACTTGAACGTGTCCGTGTGAAGTTTGGAGAAGTTCAGACCAAAACTGAGCTGGGTCTGATGTATTAACAGATTCTGAAAAGTGCACAAAATGAAATTTCTGCAGTGCCTGTCTCAGTTGAATGCTGATGGATGGTAGACATCCCCTTACAGATCCTGGATGCTTCACCTTTGTGGAAGCTCTGTCTGTGCTGCCAGCCTACTTGAGCAGGAATGGGTAAGTAAATCAGATAGGCAGTAATAACATCAGTCTTGGTTAGGCCTGTTATTAATCACTGACTGTGTTGTTTGTTGTTGTAATTGTGATTCTGACCAAAGCATAAAATTGCAGTTGCTTAACAGATTAGATTTTGCATTTAATTTGGCACATGGCCTCTTTAAACATAAAGCTAGGCATTAAGGAATGTGTAAATAGGGAAGAAAGTGCTGCCTTTCAAAGAACACACTTGATCTTGGAGCCTCACAGCAAATACTCTCTTTCTTTGCATTTCTTCACTTCTATTACTCTGGTCATTTATTTGATAACTTAAGTATAGGTACAAACAAATGAAGCAAAATCTTCACCATTCATTCTATTGAACTAAAGTTGATCTATGAAATTGTGGTATATCTGACATGACTAGAGATGACTGAGCTGGTAGAAAGCTCACTGCAGCAATGAGTTGCTGTGGTTTCACACCTTCCAAGGTGCCACCACTGGCACTTGTGTTGTCTCAACTCACCCACTCTTGAGAAAGCTGTCTGTGTTTTTGCTGGATGATTTATGAGGGGATCTAGTAAGCACCAGAACCAGGTATAAGGTGAGTGGGAGAAATGTGCAGTGGCGTATAGGAAAAAGAAAACTTGAGTAAAACCTTTGCTCTTGAGCAAACTCATAGTTTTAACAGGGAGTATTTTATTTTAACTACTCTTAGTAGATATTTTCCTTTGTATCATATCTGTGCTGGTTATTTAACAGTAAGTACTGGATGTTTATGTGTTTGGTACTTAGGAGTTGCTGATCTTTAGAGAAATTAAACTGAAGCTGCTTGAACTACCTGAGTGATCACAGGTGTTTCTTATTTCCTAAATGAAGTAGCACTGCATCAGAAATTTAAAACCTGTTACAAGGCCATTTCAAAACTCATGTTTAACTGTACCAGTTTCTGGTACACTGGAATATTTTTCCTGACCTTTTTGTGAAGTCTGGCTGCTCCCTTTTAAGTGTGAGCTTCTGGAGGCTCCCAGAATGTAGGCAGCAATATGCCTGCATCTGATGGCCCCTTTTGTTTCAGTGTCTTATTACTCTGGGTGCTGTGGAAAAAGGTAGGAGTGAAAGAAGGAACTCCTTTCCCAAGACTTCTAATGGGAGTGAAGCATCCATCCCATCAAGTATCAGTTCAGTTGACTGATTAAAAAGATTCATTGAATGTTCAAATATAGGAGGAGATTCTGGTATTCTGTGGGGAGTTTTAACCAGCTAGCTCAGCTCAGCTCATCTTGTGTGGCTGGGAGAAAAAACATAAATCTGACTATTATTTTCCAGAGGGCAAATCAGGAGTGACTTAATTTAGTGTAATTTGCTGTGCTCCAGTATTTGCTCTGTCCAGTTGCCCTCATCTATCCCTCCTGCCTCTGTGTAGAAGTTCATTCTCATTGCACCACATATACCTCCACTTCAGAATGAAATCAGCATTACCAAACGAGGAACTTCTGCTTCCTGCCTTTTTTGCATGCCTGTTCTGGGAGGATCTTGCTCACTTCACTAAGCCTGGCAAAGTGGTATTTTTCAGCCACGCTGTTGTTGTTCAATCTTCTCACCAAAGGCATGACAAAAGGAAGATGGAAGGGTACAACACCTGCTTGAGTTGGCTTCTTTGTCTTGAAGACTTCATCTTCAGTGGCTGCAGTTGATGGTTCAGAACCTCAGGTGCTGAAGTGGAGCAGGAAGCTTCTGTCCAGAGTAGAAATTGCTGATGTTAAAGAAAACAAACTATGGCCCTTTTTCTCTGCTGATTAAATGCTACATGGCATGAAGAATCATAGAATAGCAGAATGGTTTGGGTTGGAAGGGACCTGTAATGGTCATCTAGTTCCAACCCCCTGCCATGGGAAGGGACATCTTCAACAGGACCAGGTTGTTCAGAGCCCCATCCAGCCTGGACTTGAATGTTTCCAGGGGTGGGGTACCTACAACCTCTCTGGGCAACCTGTGCCAATGTTTCACCACCCTCATGGTAAAAAAAAGTCTTTCTAATATCTAGCTTACATCTACCCTCTTTTAGTTTAAAACCATTACTGCTTCTCCTCTCACAACAGCCCTGCTAATAAGTTTGTCCCCATCTTTCTTGTAAGCCCTCTTTAAGTACTTCAAGAAGAGGGCATGTTGTTACCAACTCCATTTAAAAGAAAAAAAAAAGAAGGTTGTCAGAGGGTTTTTTTTAATTAGCATTTTCTCTTTTGCTGTGATTAACTGGTATAAATATTTATTTGGAAATTGTTTTACAAAACAGTATTGAGACTAGCAGAGTTTAAAACATTGCTGCCCCTCACCCAACAAAATGGCAGCACTTAACATCAAAGTGAGAATTAAATATAACCAGTGACAAATGCATTCAAAAGGTCCTGACAGATAAGTAGAAGGAAATATGTTCATAAGATTAATTAACAACTGTCTATACAGTTCAGAAATTACTGGAAACAGTCAAAATTACCACTTGAATAAAGAGCAGGGTATTTGGGAAGATCTGCTTAAGATTTTTGAGAGGAAAATACATCCAAGTCCTTGATTGTGGAAATGATAGTCATAAATTTGCATCTGATAGGAATCAACTGAAAGACATTTACAGTACAGAAAGAGCATGCTTGAAGTGTTTGAAAGATGGCTTTTAAACCTTGAATTTCCTTCTTGTTCTCTACACCCCATGAAACAAGTAAGGATATCAGCAGTAAAACTTTTGTTGGCAGGTGAGACTGTGGATAGAAAAGTTTGTTTTGTTGGTGGTGTTTTGCTTTTTATTACCTTGATGGTTCATTTAAACTTTAAACAGTGTTGATAATAGCCTGATAATTAAGGCATCTTATTCACAGCTGGTAATCTGAGGAGTGATAAGGTATTTTCCTATGCTTTCCAAATTTGAAATTTAACTTCTAAGGGCTGATCAGCCTCAAACATTCTAGTTAATATAAGCAGGCATCGTTGTAACAATAGAATACTCTAAATTGGGTTTGGCAACGACATTGTGGTAAATAATTTGGCAGAGCATTATACTTTTTATTACCTGAAATGATCAGTTATCTCATTTTTTGCTGCAATCTCAGTTCAGCTGAAGCCAATAAAAAGCTGCATAGACTTTGACAGAACCTGAATGAAATGCTTCATGACTCACATTTTCATGAACTGTGGTGAGGAAGTTCACTTCCATGTGGTACTTTGGTTTTGCTGTTCTAATGAATTCACAAAAAATCCAACCAAAAACCCCCCAAAACCTATACATGCATAATGCTTATAATACTATTCATCAGAGGATTTGATAAATCAAATAGCAGGCCTTCCTATTGCAGCAATAAACAGGTTCAGCCAGAGATCACTTTTCTGACTCTCAGTTATTTGCTCTAATTATTCAACTGTCCTGATTTATAAAAAGTTGCATGCTGTAATCTTGTATGATGCTAAAATGTCTAAGTTTTGGAAAGCTGTTCAAGGCAATGGCTAACAGTATTTAGTGTGAAATGTTTAAACCTACTCTGAGAGAAACAGAATACCAGTGTTAACCAGTGTTTTGTTTAGATATTTCTTTTTTCAACTATCATAGTAGATCTCTGTTAATTCACTTAAAATCCACTGTCTTTCCCAACAGTCCTCGAAAGAGAGTCCAAAATCAAACCACTAATGATCTACATCTCTGTACAAATTAAATTGCTTTGATCCTGAAAGTCTATGTCCTTCTCTCCCTGTTGAATCATAGAGTGGTGTTGGTTAGAAGAGACCTTGAAGATCATCCAGTTCCAACCTCCCTGCCATAGTCAGGGACATCTTCCACTAGAGCAAGTTGTTCAGAGCCCTGTCCAGCCTGGCCTTAGACACTTCCAGGGATGGGGCATCCACAACTTTTCTGGGCAACCTGTTCCAGTGCCTCACCACCCTCACAGCAAAGAACTTCCTCCCAGTACCTAATCTAACCCTGCCCTCTGTCAGCTTAAAGCCATCCCCCCTGGTCCATCTACATGCCTTTGTGAAGGCCACTTCAGGACAGTTATTTGCTGTTTCATGTATTCTAAGAGCAACTCCATTTCCAAAAGAAACTGCAGGTAAAATTTGAAGGTGTGGCAACACTTCCAAATTCACAAGTCACCGTAGTGTACCTCTTGTTGATTTTTCTCTCTGCTAACCCTGTTGAATCACAAGTTCTAAAAAGAGACAAGATATAAGGTAAGAGTGTCTCAGGCCAGCAGTCAGTGTATGAAAGGAGAAAACCAAACTCAACCCAAACAACTGCTGTTCAAAGGCATTTTCTCCCTCTACAAGGAGAGGTAAGTTTACACTGTATTCAACTAAATATTAAACTTTGCTCCTTATTTATAAAGGGCAGAATGTGTCTTGCAAATTGTTATGTTACATGCAACCAATATTTGAATGTCAGTCACTGCATTTTTTCAGTATATTCAGGGTCTAAAGTGCAGACTCTGAGTAAATTTGAGTGTTTTACTCTACTGAAGGTGCAGTTTACTCCCCAGAGCACCACAGCTGATGTTTAGGTTATACCATCTTAAGGTTTTTGATTAATTAAGAGGACAAGATTTTTGCTGGTATTGCATGGAATCATTTGCAAATGATTTGTAGGAATAGCAGAAAAATGAAATTTCCAGTGATTACATTGGATTCTGCACAATTTCTGTAGTGTACTGAAAACATGACTTTGCCAGATGGTAACTGTGGTATCATTAAAGAATCTCTGAACTCTTGCAAGCCCTGTGAAATGCCTTTCCTTGAAAGTCTTCCTATCAGTTCCATTAGGTTTGTAATTTTTGAATCCCAGGAAAAATCTAGAGATAAGTGTGCTCTAAAGCTGAAAATGCACATTCACGAATTTAAAAATTGTTACCTAAATGAAAAGGAACTATGGGAGAATGTTTTTGCAAGCTTGTAATTCCATAACTTCATCATAACCTTGTATTAAGTTATCAAAATACCTCACACGATTCAGTGATTTCAGTCTTACAGAACAGTAACCTCCAAGAACTTCAAAATGACTTCACAAGTCAGGTAAAAGTGAATTCTCTCAACAAGAAAGAAGCTGCAAAGGTATTTGTGACTTGTCAAAAGCCAAATCTGATGCTGAAGTTTCATGACTAAGAACACCAATGTCCACTGATATCAGCTGTGTTTTGTGTGTTTTTCATTGTGGAGTATTGTCAATGCACTCTCTTTATATTCCAAGACTTGGAGCATTTTCTTAATTACAAAAGCATTTAAAGATCTCAGACCAATCCTCTGCATCTCACTTAACAGCCCTGTAGGTTCTAGCATGTTAAAAAACATCAAATTAAGTGAAATGTTACATATAAATATCCAGCCTTTATTAAAGTGCACTTTAGGCACCAAATTAGGTGCCTTTAGGATTTGCTGCTGACAGCATTGATCCAATGAGGGGCAAAAAGGGGGACTTGTTTCTTTTTAAAAGACTTCATTGCATGTGTGTAACTGTATAGCCACTGTCAAACAGGAAAACACCAGCCCAACAGGTTGCCTGTGAGATCCTTGGATATGGTTTCCTGGGGCAGGGAGGTGAAGGGACACAAGTGTTGGTCAGCAACTTGCTCAGCAAGATCTGAAAGCCATATTTTAGCAAGTTGTAAAATTAATGGTGGCTACAACCATAGATACAGAAACTGTGTTGATACAGTTAATCAGTAATTCCCTGAAGTCCTCCACTAGTGCTCTGTGGATACTGGTTATTCATCTAATACAATCTTTCATTCTACTTAAATGATGTTTTTGTCATCCCATTAGTGCAATAGACACTTATCAACTGCCTTTGATTTGAAAATTAAATGTCTTTTCCAACATTTTAGTTTTTAAACTACAAAAATAACATTAGCTGTGAAACCTGAGGAATTTTTTATCAAGGGACAAATCTCGAGCTCTTTGCTTAACATCCCCTGATCCACAGTACTCTACCAAATTCTCTTTTACCTGGTGTTTACTGTTGAACATCAAAACCATTTGACAAAAGTATACTTTGTCTGAATTGGTAGCGTGCCATGTAATTAATGGTTCCTTTTGATCCAAAATTATAATCACAAAAATACAACAAATTAAGTCATGTGACCAGCAGTGTCTAAAATAAACCAGTATAATCCAGAAGCAGTACTTTCTTTCTGTCTATATATATATATTTGAAAGATCAAGTCATGAAATAATTTTCACACTCAAATCAATTATTAGAATGAATAGAAAATTCACACAGCAAGGAAGTGAACGTGTCAAACAACAAAGTGGACTTCTTATGGTGGTTTAAAGTACTAAGTCACAAAAAATGGTTAGGGTCAAGAAGAGCAATTAAAATACTGTTCCTTCTGAAGAAAAAAGATGAAACTCTTAATGAAACAGCAGTAGTTTGATGGGATGGCTCAAAGTGCATATGGAAGAGGGCAGCAGTACCAGCCTTGCTCTTTATGCACTGCCTCCTCTCAGCACAGTGGCTCTGTGCAAAGAATAGTCCTGCGGCCTTTGCAACAGGTGACCTCTTTTCCCAAATGGGAACTTCACTTGTTCCTCGTTGTCCTAAAGATCTTTCACATCTCTGTAAGTCATCTTGCAATATGCAAGGTAGCACACACTTTTCCAAAAGTATGTTATGCTTCAGTAATTCCCCCTCAGGCCAGAAGGAGGTCTGTGACTACGGGGCAGGAAGAGACATGGACTTTCTGAACACCCGTGTCCCTCTCGGGGGCCCTGGGTAAGGGGGTGGTGGCATGTCATGCTGTCCATCTGAAGTCACTGCTTGCTCATAACTGGGGAGTCCTGAATCATCAGTTCTGAGAGGAAGTGGGTTTAAAGAAAACTCTTCATGCCTTCTGAAGATGTTCGACGAACCACGTCTTCTGCTTCTTACGTAATCCAAGTACCTGAACAAAGGGAACAGCATAATAAGTGGCAACTTCTGTTTTAAAGGGAAGAAAGAATATAAAGTCTTAATCATAAAATAAACAAAAAACAAACCAACCCAAAAAACTCCCCACCAAAAACCCACAACACAGGAAAAAACATGCCTTCAATGATCATAAAGACCAGAAGCCAAATACTCTCTCCAAACCACAGGGTAAGAATAGCTCAGTAATGTGAAATTTATAAGAAAGAGGAACCACAGAATCCTCTTACATTCCTTTCAAGTTTAGGATAAAGGAACAAGCAGGAATAGAGAATTGGTAAAGAAGCATTTCCTCCAAACTACTTCATCTCCCATCTGAGGTTGACTACCTGCCACGAAAGGCATTCATCCTATTTTGAAGGGCAAACAGAACACATTAGACTTTCCACTGCAGGCCCTAATCTAGTAAAATGATTCCATCTTTTTTAGTAAGAATATTTTGGAACCAACAATACACACACACAAAGAGCAGAGCCAAATGTTTGGGTGTGCAAGTGTTGTTTTAAGTTTTTGTGTTATTAACTTCAGCATAACCACTGCTAGTGCTCACCTAACTTGGCTTCCAGGCAAGTACAAACGAGAACTCCCATTAGATTCTCTGAGAATACAGTTAGACCAACCCACAGTGATTTTTAAATTCCACTCTTAAGCAAGAGTTTGTTTTGGTGTGTGTTTGTTTTTTGGTTTTGTTTTTCTTTTTTTTTTTAAAGCAGTGAAATTCCTTACCCCGGTGGTTGCCTTGATTTGCATCTACTTTTGCAGCAGTAGAAGATAACCAGTGCAATTATAACCAACAGTACTCCAGCAGCAACCAGACTGACGAGAAGTCCTGTGACATTGATCTTTTGTAGTGTCTCATCTCCTGAAGATAAAACATTGTTTATTTTCATTATGTATTCTTTCCATCTACCCGGTTTACACTGTAAAATGCTGTTTGAGATGTCCATCTTTTAAGTATTACTTCCAAGTATTACTGCATGTACTTTTGACCTTGATCAGGCTGTAGATACCAGTTTTTCATTAAACATCTGGCATCAGACTACTCTGAGCCTAATTCAGACTGTTATATTACTGTTAAAGAAATGGGGGAGGGAACAAGCAAAATAAAACTACAGAAAGCAGTCACAGAATTATTGCAAAGTTTACCAATTGTGTAATAAAGCAATGGCCAAGAAAATGATATTGTTTTTACCTACAGAGTTATAATGGATCCCATTCTAAGATGCTTCAGTGAGTACCTTTTATTGCATCAGATAATGAAATATGCTTGCACAATTCACAGTGATCTTCAGTAAAAAAATCAATTGTGATTTTGCTGACTGAATGCACAGGGTATTGAGTGTACTATTATAACAAACAGAAAATACTGCAATATAAGAAAAAATAAGAAGATAACTTACCTATTTTTATTTTAGGGCCTTTAGTTAAATAGTCTTTCCAAAAATCCATCTATGAAAAACCAAAAAGAATCAGATTTATAACTGACAGGCCTATTGACTTTGTCTTTAATATGGTACGCTGGGCAAAATTTACCAATGGCATAAACAGAAGTAGCTCCTGCTGAAGGATTTGTACTTGCTCGTCCCACAATATTTTTCTTATATATTCAAGTTTGCATTGAAATTTCACAAAGAAAAATTGCCAGTTGGTGAAAGAGAAAAGTGTATTAAACTGTCCAGTGTTACATCATATTTCTGCCTGATTACAGTAGAAGTCAGCTTATATTCTGACATTAAAAAAATGCTTACAGTTAATCTTTGTAAATGCCTACAAAAGAGTATTTAAGAGGCAAAGTTCTTAAGAATCCTACATTTGCATGAACAGTATTTGAATTCATAGAAGCTAAGAAAAATAATGAGATTTATTTAAGAGAAAAACTTTTATGTTGCGTGACCATCAGGCATTAAATGTGTTTAGCTATAATTTCCACCTTTGCTACCCAGCAAGACTCCATCAAGATTCCAGTTTAACACTTGCACCTTTTTCTTAGGAAAATGCTTAGCAATGGCCAACTAACATTTCCACATTCAGAAGAGGAGTGTATTCCTTGCTCTTTCTGCAGCTTAGTGCAGAGCACAGCTACAATCACTAAGAGATTCTTGCTGCATGTGGCAAGGGCCAGCCTTCAGCCAATCATCACATTCCCTTATTGGGCTGAAGGGTTTCTTATATTTTTTTCTCATTTTTTATAGCAGGTTTCTTCCCATGCAGGTAGAGATTCAAAAGATAATGCTTTAGGAACACTCAGCAATAGCTGAACTGCAGATTTGCTCCGTACTGGTCTCTTCCAAAACACAAGGATGGGATCTGCCAATTAGTAATAATGATGAGAAGTTACTTAAAAAATAAAAAGTCTGAAAACATATTGGAATATCCACAAGTGGAACTTTTAAAGCTTCATTTCTGTTTGTTTGCAGAATTGGAGCCCTTATCTAAAGTCTTTAAAACTTTATTCAAGTACATATTCAAGTGCATTCACTGTGTATCTTGAGTAATAACCCCATCTAATTGTGGTATCTAGCTTTAGATACTTTTTGTCATCTTTAAGTGCTGTGTCAGAGGGGCTACAGTACTTGTGTACAATAACGATTTAGTCAGTAACCTCCCTCAGTACATTAAATTCAGTTTGAACTGCTACCGTTTTATCGTGGTCTTCAAAAATTTCTCTTGCTTCTTCATAATTGCACATCTCTTCATAGCACTCTCTTTCCAGGTTATCTGCTGTGAATGCTTCAAAATCAAATCTGTTGTTCAGAAGGTGTCGTCCAATGAATAAATTGGCCTCCTTTTCAGATGTGAACACTAATTAAAAAAAATAAAGTTGATTTAAAACAAGTTAGGGAAGCTGAACTTGACATTTGTAAAGAATGGTTAAGATCCCAAAGGAGCACATTGAGATCACTCCTTCCCCAAGTATCTCTCAGCTACATACAAGAAAAAGAAACATCCAGGTCTCCTCCTAAATGTCTTTTCCACTGCTATATCTTCTAACTATGTAATTAAAATAAACATATTTTCCTTTCAGCTATCCTTTATAGTGGCCAAGAGAATTTGATTCTCATGAGAGCTGTTGGTCAAGCTTTGGTGTTGTCCCTTCTGGGATGTGGGAGATGGTTTTTACTGGAGCTCTTAAGAGCAAAGTAACAGTCACATAAAGCAGAAATTCAGTCACATACGAACCAAGCACGACACTGATGTCCTGGAGGAAGGAGACAAGGGGGAGGACAGGGGGTGAGGGAAGGGAAAAACCAAAACAACTCTTCCTTCTAAATAATCCTCAATATGCATTTGTCAATATTTGGGTATCTGTAAGTACCAAATTTTATTCATGGAATCTGGTTTGTAAATCACGGCAGCAGTCTCCCATTCATTTTTCATTTGTTCTCTTTTCACAATTGTGGCATCAAGTTTTAACGTAACAGCTGCCATACTGCCAGGTTTATTTGTTCTCAATTAATCCACAATATGGATTTTACTGACTGCAGGCATTTCTGAGGACATTTAATTCTTCTTTTGTTCACATTACAGGCTTCACGAGGCCTCATGGAGTATGTTGTGAGGTGAGATTCCAGAACAGTGAGTGAAATTGTAGAAGGCTTTGGAATACAGGAATGTATTTCCTCACCAGGCATTTTCCATAGTCAAGTTTTAGCCTGCTCTTGCTACAGTTTCTTAGGAAAAAAAAAATTTAGAACATCTTTATATGACAAAACTAGTTTTCTAGATTGGTTTTCAGTGAAAGCCTAATCTGTTTCCAAGAAATTCAGACTATTTGGTTGAGCAAAATGACTAGAGGATTACTTTTGCAAGTGTAATGCAGAAACAGCATTGTTACATGCCAAGCCAGACAGCTAAAAAAGGAGATGAGATTCAGTATAAAGTTATTCAGTCACAAATTAGCTTTGTGTTCTTGTTAGCCTGTTTGGCTGGATTATCACATCATTCAGGAATTTTTACCCTAATTGTTACTGTTAGATCTTGCAATGGTATCTCAAAACAGTTTGCTCTCTGAAAATTGAGAAAACTGCAGTGTAACTTACATATTGGTTGTTTATTTATTTAATATTATAGTATATTTAAGGAATATTACAGCATATATTTATATAATTTACATACTATTACAGTATATATTGAAGGAGCCACATGTGTGGAAGGAAGGAAGGAAAGTCTGTTATTCTAAAGTAATTGCAAGAAAATCTGAGCTTAAAATATTTATACTATACCTAAAAAGAAGGGCCTAATATATCCAAAACAAAACCAGAACAACCCCAAACCCACAAGTGGAAAGGGAAAAGAATTACATGGGAAAACATATCATCAATATTCTTGGTTCAGTGCAAATCATGAAAACAAGTTCAGTCTTCTGCAACAGAGACCTCCAGTTTTGCTCAGTGGTGTTTCACTCCTTACCATGCAAGTGGTATTAGCTATAGTTCTGAATTAACTTGGATAACTGATGCATTTTAACTAACATGGAATGCATAGGCGAGCTGCCTGGAGCCTAGGACCCCCAATTCCCAGGGATACATAGATCCTCTTCTCTTTTCAAGATTCTTTTATCCATTTATCTGCACTTTTCCCCCCTTTGTCACGTGGTCAAAATACACTTATCTCCATCTCCAACTTACTTGCAACCTGGTGATTAAGAAAGTATGTGGAGAATGAAACAGCTGGACTGGAATTCTCTCCCATACATGAGGGACCTGAATGCAGTTCTGCAGACCTTGGTTTGAAAAAATCATCCATGAAGTTTTAGGATGCCCAGCATTTAACTAGAAATGCACCCACACAATGTGCTCAGTAAAGTAACTCTGCTGGTAAAAGATGTTCAGAAAATGCTGAAGGGGAAACCTCTCAATCCCCATACCCTTGACAACTGTTCTACTTGCTAAATTACTGAATAAAGAGAAGGGCCTTTCTCTTTCAAACTCCCTCTTTAAAGGTGGAATGGCCTGGGCCTGTTTTCAGGAGAACATTCTGTGCTATGAACTCACAAGAGAGAGGCAGCCTGACTTTTTATGCCTGGAGCAGTAAGGATTTTAACAAATAATCTGTCTGAAGCATTTTTCTGCTAGCCATGTTTTCTGCTCCACAGCCTTGAAGGAGCCTCATGCTCCATGTGATGACTTTTTAAAGTCCATCTTAAGGTTTCAGCACTCCTTATGCACTGAGGAGACTGGACAGCTAAGTTACAAACTCCTTTTTGAAGCCCTGATGCTTAAAATGTTAAGCATCACATGGTTCAGCATTGTAGTGCTTGAGTCCTTCTGGGGAACTTCATTTGTTTGTACATCAGTTCCTCTCCGCTTCTCTCCCTCCAAAGTGAAGAGCCACAATAGCAGCACTATGCTTGTCCTTCCAGGTGTTGTAAGAGGATTGGGTATTGAGAAAAGACATCCGTTTCAAAAAGCAACCAAATAAACCCTTTCAAATACAAAGCCACTTCAGATAAATGTGCTCCAGCAGTACCAAAGCAATACTGTCTTAATACAGGTTTAAAATTTTTTGAATGTTGATGTTACTTAAAGGATTCTGGTTATACCAATGACAATAACCCTGGAAACCTAGAGAAAGCTCAGTTGTCCCAATCTGTACTTACTACTGGATCTGATAAATACTTCATATTGACACCCAAGTCAATAAACAATCATGTCAGCAAAAGATATTCAAATATGCTAAAATTAAGCTAAAACCGCTTAATTTTTAAAATAAAGTAAAAAAAAAAAAAAACCACCACAAACAAACCAAATCCAGCAACAAACAAAACAAATCAAAGTTAGATACAATTTTGAAAAGGATAAAGTTATGTTAAAAAACTAAGTTACCGTCTTTCCATTCAGGTTGCTTCAAGTTACTTAATCTCCCCGGGCAGTGAGGAAACGCGAACATCATCACATGCAGTTGACACAGCACTACCAAAAACGCGAACATGGCCGGGATCTGTCAGACAGAAACTCGTGTGAGTTTAAAAAAATGATGACAACGCTGAACGACACTTCTGAAGTGTCACCGATGAACGCTGGATGAATCCTAACACGTGAAGTCATCTCGCGCAAGCACCTACACGCAGCTGAGGGTAAATGGGTCCCTGGAAGAAAGGCAGCGGCCCGAACAGGTCTTGCCTGTCTCCTGCGGAGTTCTCGTTGTGTAACACCCGCACATGTCACCGGGGCCGCTCTCGCCGCCTCCTGTCCTCCTCTCCCGGCTCAGCAGAGCGGCAGCCCCGAACTAACGGGGGAAGATCCCCCCACAAGGTGCCCCAGGTGCGCTCTGAAACCGCAGAGAGCTACGCCTTAGCTGCCGGAGGAGGTTGTAAAAGCGTCCCGACGGGAACAGGTACAAACCCCCTTTTGTCAGGGGACCGCCGCTGAGACCCTCCTCGCTCCCTGCGCCCCGAGGAGAACCTGCGCTCCCCCACCTCGGGCTGTAGAAATTAGGAGTCACATGAACCCTTCGAAGAGACCCCCCCGGAGGCGCCCGGCCCGGCAGCTCCGGGGAGCCGGAGGCGGCCACGGAAGCACGCCCATCCCCGCGGGAGCAGGAACGCCGCGTCCGCATCGCCCCCCGCTGCCCTCACCTGTCCCGGGGGCTCGGCGGCGGCCCGAGCGGAACAGCTGGAGGGGCAGCGTCTCCCAGGGCAGCGTCTCCCGGGGCTGCTCCAGCTTCCTGGAAGGGGCGCGGCGCAGTCACGGGACCGCACTCGGGCTGCCCCCGCCCGCGCTGCCCGAGCCGGGATGGGGCCGCCCGGGGGCGGGGGTGGGAACGCCCCTGAACCTGGAGAGAGAAGGGTCGGTGGGGAGAGACGGCGCGGGGCGATGGTGCTGCGGCTTTTCGCCGGCCGCCAGCCCGGGCTTTGTTTGCAAACACCTGTCTGTGCCCTCAGCCCCCGCCCAGGCTCCCCAGCGGAGAAAGCAGCAGGTCCTTCCGCCTTCTGCGAACCCTTTTTACCGCTGAACGCGACTTTTTGCTGGCTGGGTTAATCGTGGCGCTCCCCCACAGCCGAGCGCTGTGTGAGGACAGGCTGCCTGCGGAGCAGGACCCGCGCAGGGTGTGCTTCCCCAGCGAGTCACGGCCGCTTACCCAACACACCTGGAGAGGCTTGTCTACACCCAGCTTTCCTAGCCCGGCAGCTAACCGCGGCGGAGAGAGGACCAGCATAAGTTTTCACGCACGTGAAAATAACTTTTGATGGGTTCGTTGTTTGTTTTTTTTTTTAAATCAGTGAAGGTAAGCCTTAGCCTTAAAGGCTAGAGAGTGGCAGGGGTGGCGCCCTGAAATGCGTGAGGTTGGTCTGCACCAGCATGCACCTGCTCCAGGGGCTTCCTTCACTCTCCTTCCCAGTGCAGAGCAGCACATGGATCTGTGGCTCTTTTGGCTTCTCCAAAGGACAAGAGAGAAGCAGTTAAGTACTTCACATTTGCTGCAAGAATTTGTTTAATACTGTGTGCTGGGAACATTAAACATCTGAGAAATTCTGGGATAGGCTGGGTTGGGTTTAAAGCTGCACACCAGAGAAACTCTCGATGCACACGACTGGAATGATTTTGCTACCAGGAAACCCGGGGACTGCCCGTGATTTGTGTCTGTGCTTGCATGTCTCCAGTAGTGACCCTGGATTGTATTTTTTTATTTAAGTGCTGGAGTGACTTGTATATACAGAAGCAGGATAGAGTAGAATGAGAGGGTATTGAGTAACACTAGTGGAAGCGATCGGATGTTCTCTGGAGAAAACCAGAAACTTCTGATGTGTGAAACAAGGAGAACTGCTTGGAGGAATGATGACTGTAGTTAAATATTTACTTTATGACATCAACACACTACAATTAAGGGGTGCTTGATGAATATGTAACTTAAAAGCCAAGCTTTTTAGCTGGTGGAGATCTCAACAGAAAATTCTGTAGTATGGTTATGTATGTGCTTATAACACAGTGGTGAACTCAGATAACGGTATTTTATAAGAAAAGAGTAGTATGGATTGTTTATTATCTAGATAATACTGAGTAGACAAGGATACTTTGTTGCTACATGTTGGAAAACAGGAGAAAACTGCCATTAATTTGTTAAGGACCTTACAACTTTCTCCCATGCACCTCTGCTCAGCCCTCACCCTGAGTTCTTGCCTGCCTGTCTCAGTGAGGGTGGTGTCAATCAGCAAAATAGCTGCTGGCAGCTACAGTGCAAGGGCATGAATGCACAAGAACTCTGTGGTGCATCTGAGTGCAAGTAAAATACCTGCATGCACACGTGGGAACATTTAATGTGCCATAACAACTTTTTGTATGTGGAACCTCTGTTGTACAAGCAGCCGGTAAACCCCATTGTATTATGCCACCACTACATACCACCATTAATAGGAGGGGAAAAAGATTTTGGAATTGCTTATGTATGCCACGTGGGGAGTGGATGTGGATCCCACTCCTAATCCCAGCCCTGCCTGTATCAGAGGAGTGGACTCTGATACAGGTGTGGACTGAGAGATGGATCAGCCTCATCCAAAACTCTCTGCTGGACCTCACCCCTGCTCTGAAGATGGAGGAGTGATGGTGTAGAACTGTGGTGGGAGAGGACCTCAGAGCTCTAACATTCACCAGTGGTTACTCAAATGTTTTTGTGCAGTTTTTAGCAGAAAACTTGTGTCTTCTCTGTGTGTGTGCATGAGTGCTTGTGCAGGTGTGGTGGAGGCTTTTTAAACCATACCACACAAAACATAAATGGTATGAATTATTTATTATTGAGGCGCAATAAGAAAATATTAAGTCGTTATACAGTGGAAATCAGGACAGGGTAGTCTTTGCTTTGGAAAAGACTGTAACTTTCTCCTATGTGTCCCTCTGAGCTCAGGCTGTGTTGCAGTCTCTGTGATCTTGAGGACTTGTCAGTGAAATCCTCACTGAGGGTGACTGTCCAGGTAAATGGATGTGTGAAAACTCTGTAACATGTTTATGTGTTTGTCTCTACAGGAAAATGAGTGAGAAGCTTGTAACAGCAAGCACTGTAACAAGTGTGCAGGAGTCCTCTAGCTTCTTATATCTTCTTGTGCTAGGCCACCACTACACATCCTTATTGAGACACAACAACAAAGAAAGGCTCAGGAAGGTTTACCCCTGCCCACCCATCAAGTGTGGATTGATTCTGTTATTCCCAAGGTAGGAGCCACCCCTGTTTCAGAACCATACCTGAATTTTTGCTGTCCCAACCTTAAGACTCAAGTTTGCTGTTGAAAGCAGCATTACCACAGCAGGAATAAAGGCAACAGTGAACACAGCTCAAGTTAATTATTACATAAGGAAATATTAAAATTTTAGGGTTATGCTATAGGTAATGACTAAAAGTGTGCTGAAGTTCTCATTTGTTTTACAGATCATAGAAAAGATAGATATAAGTATAAAAGGGTGCAGTGAGTGCTCAGGGTAAATGGAGTGTTTCCTGTGTGTATGCAGTTTTTAACATGGCAGAAAGATAAGTATCTTCTGCATGTTACTTTCCTACTTGTGAAGTAATTTTTCAGGTAAAAGAGCCTTGATTAACAAGCTATCTGATGAAGAAGCTCAGCAAGATGGAATCACCATTAAAGATGTTATTTTCACCAACTTTTTCAGATAAATGCCAACGTACAGTATAGTAGATGTGTAATTAGAGGTATTCTGAGAGATGAAAAATAGGAAATTAATTTATATAACTTGATTTTAACATTGGGAGAATATATAATTCATATTTCTAAAAATATCTCTAATTTATTTGCCATACTAGCTAGCATGCTTGTTTACCTGTATTTTAAAACTTCACTTGTTACAGTGAAGTTTGGTAAAATAGTACTGGAGAAACCAAATATGGTGCTGTTGAATTGAACCAGAACTGTTGTATCACCTCACTAGAGGAGGATGGTGCCAATCTAAGATGTCTATGCACCAATTATTGGGTTTTGCATATATTGATTACTTTGCTGCAAATGAATAGTGGTGTATTCATTTTTAGTATTCATTTTATTTTTAGTATTCCTGTTTTATTTTTAGTATATTAAAGAACAATATGCTTTACTGATTTTTGATTGGGAGAACTTTGGGTCAGGAATGCATCTAATTCCTTGCTAGCAGTGTCCCATTCAGATCATCCTATTCAGGATTTTTTTTTTTTTTGATATTTGATATAGAATGATGAAAATTAACACCCTTTATCTCACCCCAATATGCAAATATATCCTACCATAATCTGAGTAATACATTTCTTATTGTTCAGTTTCTCATGTAGTATTTATCAGTTGATATGGTAATGAAATAACACAAATGTATAATTGAGAATGACCCTTCTCATCAAGGAAATCTGGAACTGAGTATATCTGGTTCATTCTTTGTAATGGTTTATTTGATGTCCTGAACCAAATGGTACAGATTTGTACTTTATTCAAAACTATTTGAAGTTCTTACATTTGTTAAATCAATTTTTGTCCGGGTAGCTCGATTTGGGAGTAATGCTTTTTTACTAGGGGTAATTGAACATAACAGATTTTAATTATTGATTTTATACAGGTAACATCAAAGGGCTTTGACTATCATATGCAGCAATAAACATGTCAACAAGCAAGTGAACCATATCAGTATCTTGGACAAACTTGTTGCCCCATTCCTCACAGAACATGTTCTAGGGAAGGGTTTTTCTAGACCAGGCCATATTTGAAAAAGGCAGTTTCTTTTTCAGGTACTCCCTGGTGTCCCTTATACCTTCCTGTAGAAGTGACTGTTTTTCCTGTTTACTGGTTGGTCTAATAAAAGACATGATAAATTGTTATATTGTTTGACAAACATATAATTGATTAAATCTTTACTTGGAATCAACATTATTATTGTAATGATGTTATAATAGATGTAATGATGTTATGTGTATTGTAAATGTGCTTTGATTTCAGATACACACCCTTTTTAGTTGAGGCTGTCACTTCATCCCCACAAGACATGACAAAGTCTTTTAAGTGTTGGTCATG